AACGCAGAACATGTACGCCACGTAAATAGTTTTTCACGCGTAATTCGCACAGGCTGGTTAAAGTACTTAAATGAAAGCTAGCACGATAGTGTATAGCACTTGCCCTTGGAGCACGGCCTATTCACAACCAGAGACTAAGACAAGATGGAAAATGCTATAATACACAGCATAGTAGCAAAAAGTGTGGCCAAGAAGTAAGATATGCTGCGATCCACATTCATATCAAATTAATGCATCCAGTAAAATGTGGCGACCAAATATTATAACCAACAACAGATCTTTGACTATGTTGTGTCCCTTACAGGTAAATAACCAAATGGCGAAAAATAAAATCACGCGGCTGCTCGTAATATAGCTGAAAAGTAAGAAAATAGGACAGAAGTAGAAATCGCGGACACTAATGGGGATAGATTTTATTCTTCTGACAATAAATTAAGTGGATAGTACGAGATGTCAAATGGAAAAAGAAGTCAGTCTACTTGCTTCCAGCTGGCTCCAACAGAGGAAGGGCCCAGCAAGTATGCAGATGCACCCTACAGATAGGTAACACATTACCAAGTGCGAATCGGGGTCTGCGTTTAACGAATGAGGACGGGTAAGAGGTCAAAAAACTTAGGCGCAAATTAAGTACAACTGAAATGTTCGTATGACTGAGTCGCTATCGCTAGACACAGAACGATGTACATTATCCCCGGAAATTGCAAGGTGGTTGAGGTTGATCGATTGTGCTCCTGATTTACATTGATTCTGCCCCTGTCGTACGCGGTTAGGTGTAATTCCTCCCACTACGATCTTTCTCTAGAATAGGACGGAAAGAGCCTGTAGGGGTTATGATAGATGATCTTACCGAATGGGGTATGTGGACGGATGGTCCTAATAGAAGGATAAAAAACTACTCTTCTCTTCCGAAGACCTTAATAACAAGGTTTTGAGTGGTCGTATTACTAGACACTATGTACATGCATATAAGAATTCTGAAGCAAACGACTCTACAACTAATGGGAAAAAAATAGAGTGCTTAAAATAGAAGGTGAGTTCAAGAAAAACATGACAATTATTAACCTGCGTCATCTTTGTCGAAGGACAAGCTGCTACTAGTAAATCGAAGTTAGCACATTTAAAAGCAACCCAAAGACGCACTCGTTATCACGAATGATCTTGGAAATCTCGGGAGGGGAGGTATTGTTTTCACTTTTACCGGGACAAGTCGAATCCTTGTACGACTGCAATTCACTAAGGATGTCAGCTTTTTCGTCTTGGCAAAGTTGTAAATCCTTCCGCACTCGCGAACACTGAAAAATAGAGTAATGATAAAACTCTCCTCAGTAGACTAAGGTGCACCATAGTCAAACGAAGTTACAAAACAATGGAAGGGACTCATCCCAACAGAGAGAATAATTGTGGCGGGTTACCTCCGAAATTAAAAACACTAAAGCACAAAAATCGCGCGAAATCAGTCTGTCTACTAAGGTTCAACACTGAATCACTCTATGACTTTCCGTTATGCAGTTAAAAAAGCCTATTAACCAAGTTCTTAAAGTAAATTTCCCAGTAACTAATTATAATTGCGTCCTAAGGCTGCTACTTAAATAACACATCAGGAACTCCAAACTGGGAGAAATTGGGAAAAATAAATCACTAATTAGAAGCCATATGTAATATCGGTGAGATTCGACAAATAAACTTATTGTTATTATAATGAAGCAGAGTTAGGGGAAATTACACCACGGAGCTTGCGGAAATAATAGCCCAAATAAGATTAAGTACGTTTACCTGTCTACTTATAATCAAAAATAAGCACTTTGGTTGGATTATAAGTTGACGGGGAACCATAAATTATATTGAGTTATTGTTTATAAAGAATAACGGGAAATTATAGTTTCCCGTTATTCTTTATAAAAAATAGCTCACACAGCTACGTGGAAAGTTAAATGGCGCAATTAAAGCCGCAGTTATTGAAAAGTGTAGAGTTCATGCACTTTTTCATACAAAGGAATCGACATACTTCAAGCAAGGCTTCCTCCAACTGACTAATTAATGATTCGCGTTCGTGCAGGCCATCTGAACGGACAGAAACTTCGTTATTGGATTGCATATTGGACTGCTGTTCAAGGGATCGTTTTCGCATGATTTCCAAGTCGGCTGACAATTCATTCGCCCTGCGTCTTAGTGTTGTAATTTCAGACTCTAACATCCGGTTCGCCATTTCACTTTCATGAAGCCGGACTTTTAACTAGGAAATAAGGAAATTAATAATGAACTCGTACGTTCAAGAATTGATTTTTCTCGGCATCGCTAAGAGAATCACAAGAGGGATCTGGGTTGAGGAATTTTTTAAGTGACTTATAGCGTTCTTGCAGCTGAAAGGTTAAAAAAATACAATTTAAACCTCCTCAGTCATCATTTTAAATTGATTTGTTTCCGTGGTCGATTCTTCCAATTTTTTTGAAAGTATTTTTATTGCTTCGCATTTACTGGCGAGCTGCCTCTTGGTTGCTGCCAACTTTTCAGGTAATCGGTCTACTTTCAACCTACCTCGTTGTTTAAACCATCGATATCTGTTTGTAGCTGGTTCAGCTAAGTTCAAGAAACAACAAATAATAGATAAACGTGGGAAAACTACCATTGCTTCGCTATTAAAGTGTAAAACATCCAGCAATGTTGCCCGAAATATTGGTTCTTACGTCTGTATTTCGGCGCATTTAAACTAAACTAGCTGGCGGTTTGTTTTCTATTCTCTTGTATTTTCTCGTAGTCATCATTGCACAATGATGGGCGGGATAGCTAAATTATTCAGTGGGTGAGTAAGAAATGTTAAAGCCGTTTACTTCGCCCTAAGCTTCTAATACATTTACCCTATTTATTGCCAATATACCGGTAACGTGGCTGTTATAATTTTTTGTGTAACTTCGTAAGGAAACGGTAATTTCTGACCCTTTTTAAGGGGCTCTTTCGGTCCAAATGAGGCTTCAACAAGTTCCGTGAGATTTGAAATATTCGTGATCCTAAGGATTACTAAAAATGTGTAGGCGCTTCGCCTCACCTGTACGTTTTTGCTTAAATTAACACAATTTTTGCTTTAGCCGCACAATCCGAAATACACACTTCCAGTTTTCACTGCACGTGGTGCCTTCTGAGCATTTTCATGCTAACTCTATC